GGGTTAGAAACCCACAATCTCGCCCCAACCCCCCAAAGCATCTCTGGCCAAATCTGCGCCTCGCATATGAGGTCTGACACCGATTTCACGCGGACGACGTTACACACTCTTCCCTTCCATCCATCCTTGTTGCCCCCACTTTGGGTCACAAGTCAGCGTGACTTGACTCGGCAATGGAGTCTCGTAGAACTGATTATATAAATTGCACCACCGAAGTATAATTTGTCGATGTGGGACAAATTTGCGCGGCCTGGCAAGTTTCTTTGTTTTTGGTTTTTCTTTTTTTCCACTTGAAAAAGAGTAAGTGGGTTTGTTGTCCAGAGATTAAGGTACGGGCTCCATTTGCTCCTGTGGCTATTTCTCTGGAACATGTTGCACAGGTGATGTGTTTTTCTCAAATACTTCTTTCTGACTTCGTTCTCTTCTCTGTATAGTTTTGCTGGATATAATTTGTAGAAATGCTGGCTTTATATTGGCCCCTTTTTTTTTCTTCTCATTTGCTGGGAATATAAATCTCGTGCGAGCTTTATTGGTCCTTTTCTCTCCTTTCCCTTCTTTTTGTTTGTTTGTTTTTTAAATATAAAAATAATAATTAAGCATATACAGAATCAGGATATTCATGTGGTCTAGAAGAGTTCTTTTGTTTACCCTGTAAAGAGAGTAAGTGGGTTAATTTGACCCCAAAAAAATTCCATTTCCCTGTTTCATATAAAACTGAAAATTGAAATCAGTTATCAAACAACTTTTGTTCAGTTTTTAGTTTTATAAAAAATGAAAATAAAAAAGTGATGGTTATCGGAGCCTAAATAATTTTATTCCGTCTTTTTCTAAGTAAGATACATTTACATATTGTATTGGTTTGTTTTGTACAGTCCCGATCTCTTGGACCACAGGGGTCCAAGAGATTTGTGGTCACTCACCGTTGGATGTAAATTCAACGGTTCACTCACTCTTGCACTCCTTTTAAGAAACTTTTTTAAACCATTGGATTAATATCCAACGGTAGGTGACCACAATTTCTTGGACTCCTGTGGTCCAAGAGATCAGGACTGTTGTTTTGTAATTCTTTGTCATAGGGTTTAGGGATTATGATTATGATTTTGCCTTTTTCAGTTAAGGGACTATGATTTCGAAACTTGATGCTTACCTTTATTTATTTTTTCTGTTGAGTCTGAAAAAAGAAAATGATTTGGCAGTAAATTTGTGAATAATGGTACGAGAGAAGTTCAAAAAAAAACTTTGAGCCTATTTGATAACCATTTCAATAATTTATTTTTTTAAGTTTCTAGTTTTCAATTCAATGAAATTGAAAGCTGAAAACTTCTTTGTTTATCAATTTTAGAGCCCATTCGATAACAATTTCATTTTCTATTCACTTTTCACTTTTTTAAAAAAATTGAAAACATATTTGATAGTACTTTTCATTTTCAGTTTTCAATTGAAAACATATTTGACGTTAGCATGATGTCAGCAGCCCGAGGGCAAGAGCCCAATCAATTTCTGCCTGTGGGCTTGCCCGGATTGGTGGGTCCCATGCCTTGCCCTGGCAACAGGCCCCCCAAGCAAGGTTTGGACCTCCAGGGCACAAAACACAGTCCGGGCAAGGCATGGGACACACCAACCCGGGCAAGCCCACATGCAGAAATTGACTGGGCTCTTGCCCTCGGGCTGCTGACATCATGCTAACGTCAGCGCCTAAAAAAAATTGAAAAATATATCAAAAAATTTAATAAAAAATATCAAAAAAATCTGGATATTTTTTCTATAAATACCTACCAATATTATTCACTCTCCACACCAAATTTTTATACCAATTCATCTCCTTTCAATATTTTTCACTTTCCATACCAAATTTTCTACTACAAAATTCTATTTGAAAATTTTAATTTAATAAATATGGACATGTGGCAACCAAAAATCTTATCCGAAAATGTTATCTGAAATTTGAGGTGATAATTTTATAATAAATTGTGACACGTGGCAACCGAAAATATTATCTAAAATGCTTATCAAAATTAATGGTTTAAAGTATAAAAAAGTAGGAAATAAAGTGCAATGAATAATATTTGCCTTAGACTTGCCCTAGACTTAGCCCTCATGGGTGGAACCACAAATGGCAAGGCTGACACTATTCATGTGAATAGTGGCATCCCTTGCTTGCCCTTGCCCTAGACTTAGCCCTTAGAGCAACTTCCCCCATTTGCCCCTTGCCATGGCAAGGGGGGAGCTAGGGCAGCCACTATTCACGTGAATAGTAGTTGCCCTTGCAAATAGGATTGTGTGTTTCCACCCGTTGCCATGGCAACGGGCAATTACTATTCATTTTTTTGTTTTTTTCACAAATTTGTTTACCTAAACAATTAATTTGGATAATATTTTTGGGTTCGTACGTGTCAATATTTATTATAAAATTCATATCTCAATCGGATAGAAAAAAAAATCAGTAATTTTTTTTTATAAAAAATTCGATTTTTTTTATTTTTTTATTGCACAAAAATTGGCTGCCGTTGGATTGGAGAAAAAAATTTGATCGGAGAGCCCAGAGCGCGACACGTGGACTTTAGCGGCACTGTAGCGATGACGTCAGCACCAAAACGAGGGCTGGAGCTTGGGCCAACCTTGCCCTCGGGCCAACCTAAGTTGCTGGGTCCCACTCCCAACCCGGGCTTGGGCTCCTAGTTATAGAAACATGAGAGGGTTGGGCACAATATTTTGTTTTTTCCATTTGCTTAAGAAGCAAACAACCATAAATTCCGTATTTTAAGAGTATTTCATCGGTTTGAACTTTTCTTCTCGCATTTTTATTTCCGGTTATCTATTCATAAAAAAAGCACCATTTGTATTTGTGTGTAGATTTGTATCTTACTTGTTCAAACTGAAGTGTGTGAGTTCTTCTTTTGAAAATATATGCCTTTGAAATTTCAGCTCATAGAGAAGTGGATATCCTACCTGAGGTGCATATAATGAACATGGAAGTTTGCTGCACTAGTTGGCTATCAAGGTGCCATCTTCTAGAACTTTGCTGCTGTAGGGGTTGGTAAAGTCATGAAGTTACTGTTTTACCCTCACTTTGGTCTAGGGTGATAAAAAATTGCTCCATGTTTGTTCAGTATAACCTAATTTTTTGTTTTTCTACGGGTGGTTTTATTTTCTTTTAGTTTCCTGCTGAAAAATGAGGTATAGGTTTGTATTTGTTGTAGAGTGTGGCTTATGTAGGAATATAACCAAGTTAGTGATGCTTGAATATGTTGTTTTGAGCCAATTCAATGCGGAGCTTTTTCTTTGCTTCAATGTGGGCAGTTTTGCCGCGCTCCACGGAGACATGGTTCTGCCGTGCATATTTGTCTACATTTACACTGCTGTATACCACTCTCTTGTTATAATATTGTTGTATGAAGTGAATTTTCGTTTTTGATGTAGGGACATTTATTCCTCAGTCATAAGTTTTACTTGGTTAACATTGTAAGTTGAAGTTATCTGTTTGACTATGAGAATCCCCTTGTAATTTTGGGTGGATAAAATTGAACATTCAACATCTATAGTAGCTTTCTGGTCATGCAATGACAATAAAAATGCGCTTTCGTGAACAAAGAATGAAGTTATATAATTCCTGCCGTCGATTTCCCAGCTTCTAAAGTCAGATTATTTTTGGGTAAATGGAGCCATTGGAGATGTTAGCTCTACCAGGGCTGTCCAAACAGCAACTGATATTCAAAGAACCAAAATCCATTCGCAAACTACACAATATGGATGATACTATCGCTGCCCATCAAACTTTTCATCTTGCAGTTTCAATTGTTCCAAATCCCATTTGGTGTCTTTTGCAGGATTATAAAAAATATCTTGAACAACTATCCTGCAGTTGAGTTACAGCAACTTCACATGATTTAGACATGTTGGGATTCTTGTACCTTGCCAATACCAGCAACATCACCAGTATAATAAGACACAATCTTTCAACAGAAATATGTTGGACATATTTGGATGCCTGTTTACAATTAATGTCTGGTTTTCAACAAACCTTGATTGGAAATTATGAAATAGATAAATCTGTTACATTTCGTCCCCAACATACAAAGTATTTGTGTGGAATGAAAGCATTAGATAAATCCGGCTTGCAAACAGTTTTTTTCATCCTCTCATAAATCCTGGATGCATCAATTGAGAAGAAATGTATTGCCTTATGCAACTTAAAATCTCAGAAACTGCTGGCCCCTCAACACACCTCTTGATTATCAGACCATTATTCGGAAATTTAGTTCGTTTGAACAGCTAAACTTGGGGCTCACATAAACCACTTTGGAACTTCATTGCCTGAAAATTTAATATCGAATGTAGAGCGCTAAGAAAAAGGATTTAACCCAAAACAAAAAGAAAAAAAATTCACACCCTGAAAACTACAACATATACCCAGAGATGCACAGCAAAATATTAGTAAATTTGAATTGAACACAAAATGCAGATATATGAGCAGAAAATGCAAAGATATCATTCAACATTTAATGGATTTACATACTTTGGCTCCTCATTAAGATCGATGTGCCTCCTCTTTGGGTGATCCGCTGGTCCCGTAAACAAGGTAAGCCATTGAGCTTCATGATCACCAATGTCGAGGGCGTTAGCACAATGATCATCGTCAAGTGCCATGAAATCTGATTCGCGAGGCCTCTTGCCAAGACTAGTCTTCGATGCTAAAGACAAGGAAGTCGATTCGTAGTCTTGGTGTTGATCATCATTCGCTTCAGGCAACAACCGCTGATAAAAATCTTCAGTCACACTGACATCAGCAACCTGGTGGCCTAATAGGTGGACCCCGCAGGGCATTTTATCGGTTGCGGGCACTATGCCATACACAGACAAGAGAAATTCAACTTCACACATATTACGGAAAATTCTACGGTGCGCTTGGCGCACTGATGCGCCAACTATTATGACCTTTGGATGAGTAATTGGGGCATGAGAGATAATCTACACCGTTGATTGTTGATTACCGGTTAACTTGTTGCTATAGGTAAAACAAAAGACAAAAATAAAAACAATTGCTCTCTCCTTCAGTCAGAGACGTTTCAAGTCGACTAGGGTTGGGTTTCTCATTTTTGTTTCTCTTCGAGTTCAATTCCTTCCACAGCAGCTCCTCTCCTCCTTCTGTGACAACGAGAAAGCGGCGACGACCACATCTCCTCTCCTCTCAGGTAAGTCTGGCTTCTTCTTCTCCTTCTATCTTCTTACATCTCTCTCTGAACAGAGCCGCTTTGCCTCCTTTTTTCTCAGTCTGTTTGATTTTGATTCCTTCAATAGGCACTCCTCCTTCTGTGACGACGTCGACGAGATAGCATCGGCGACGTCATATCCTCTCCTCGATTCCTCTCTCATATCAGTTTAAGGTAAGCATCCTTTCCTTTGAATTTAGGGTTTTTTTTTCTGTTAAATTAGGATTGTCGAATTAGGGCTTCTGAATTGAATTGGGGGTTGAGGTAGATGATTTTTCTATTAAATTAAGGCTGTCAAGGTGGTTGAGACTGTGATGGATTGATAGTTTTTTATTTTCTGGATATTTGGTGGGTTTAATTTATAAGATTCATTAATCGTTGAATATTGATATAAGTTTGGAGCTCATTGATTTGAATTTATTGGTCTTCAAAGCATTTTTTTTTCTCTTGCTATAACTGCCCTGACAAGTTATTTACAGTGTGTGGACTTAAATTTCGACCTCCAATCTCTCACAACTCAGTTTGCTCTTTTTTTTTCCTATATATATTATATACATAGTGACTTCATGAGCTTTGTCTCATACAAAGCTTTGTTTAGGCTTATTATCAATTGTTGGATGAACATTTCATGTCTCGTTATGAAGTAATTTTCATTTTTGGGTTTTGCTTTTGGTTCCAATCTGGTGCTGAATTTTGGATTATTGGGAGGGTGTTCCTCTTGTAAATGATTGGTGTTTTTTTGTAAAAGTTTCATAGTTATTCAATTTGAGCTCTGCCTTTATGTTTCTTTTATTGTAGTTGGTCATTTCAGATTAATACTCTTTCAATACTAAATAGCCACATTTGTATGATTTAGTGTTTTGAGCTATCGCTTTTGTCTTGAAATTCTTTGGCATTAATCACTTTTTTGTCCTTAAGATGAAGCAACGTAGGACTCCTCTCTGGGTTTTTAGTTGGAATAAATGGAAAAAAGTGAAATTATTGGGAAAACACTTTGTGTTGTTTGTAGGTTGGGAATGCTTTAGAAATCATGTGACTTTGACTTGGGCTGAACCTATAAAGAACTCAAATAACCAATTGGGCTGCAGTAGTTGTGGAAGTTGTGTAAGTTTCTAGTCTCAACTTTGTAGCCATGGTTATGATTTAGATAAGGAATATGGTCATTATATCTTGAATTTGGGAATGTTTTGATGTTTAAAGCTGATAAGTGAAGTTATGTATAATTGTTTTCTATAATAATAATAATAAAAAAAAAAGAGCTAATAAGTGATGAATTTTTAAATATTTGCGTTGGTTGATGAAATCTGAGGTTATATTGTAGATGGATGTAGGAAAATTCTACGGTGGGCTTGGCGCATGGATGCGCCCATTGTTTTAAACTGTTGGATGAGTAGTTGGTGATGTGAAGTTATCCACACCGTTGAGTTTGTTACCGGATAAATCGGTTGTTGTAGGTAAAAAGAAAACAAAAACAAAAACTCTTCTTCAGTAGCGTTGGGTTTCTCTTTTCTCTCTCTCTTCCAGTTCGACTCCTTCCAAAATCGCTCCTCTCCTCCTTCTGTGATGACGAGACAGCGCGACGAACACAACTCCTCTCCTCTCAAGTATCTCTCTCTTTCTTCTCCCTAATTGTCTCTGTCATCTCTATATCTCATGGTCTCTCAATCTCCTTCCCAAGCTTCGTTTCAAAACCAAACCCATACCAAAAATCTCAGCCCCAATTGAAATCCCCATTTAGCTCGATCTCTGCCCTCTCTCTCTCTCTCTCTCTCTCTCTCTCTCTCTCTCTCTCTCTCTCTCTCTCTCTCTCGTTT